CAGTCTCTGTAACCTTTGACCTTTGGATAGTATACCATCCGGCAGCCACACGTTTTCAAAGTCATGTTGTGTTTGGAAAGTTGAAATTGCAAGAACCCGTGAGTTTAAATTCACGTTATTTTCTACAATATAGCACAAGACTTTGATTTCATTATCAATGTAAATATACATTTTTACTTTTATTAATCCATCATTTATAATCTTAAGCATTTTTGAAAAATTTGTATTTGCATTATTATCACACTGCTTTTCGACAGTTATTTTTGTCTAAATAATTCCACAAACTGAGCATCAGACGTTTTCAAGCCAAGAATATTTCACCGAATATTGATCCTAACGTCATCGACTAAATCTACCCGGTACGTTCACAGACTTTACGACTGTCATTTCAACTGCTTACACCATAGATTCATACAAGCATTCTGCACGGCAGTTTACTTTGCTGTATTTTTTGTAATAAGCCAAATTCCTCTCGCCACAGTTGCCATGTAGAGACAGAAGGTTCACCAACTTAAAAAGTGCGTTACGATTTTCGTTGTTTGCAAAATGCGTTGCAGTTGCAAAATGCGGCTCTACAAAGGCAATGACGGAAGTGCTATCAACGTGAAAAAGCTTCAAAGTTGACTTTACACACAGCAAGAACAACTTGAATGCAGTTGTTTTAGTGCCATTTATATACCTCTCAGGAACACCAACGCAAATTCATTAAAATTAAACTGGAAATTAGACACTTGGACCCCATTCCCATAGATTTTAGATCGATCTATCCCGGTGGGGAGTCCCACTATATTACTGTCAGCTTAGCCGACTTAAGCGTCTGTCCCGCCTACTAAAAGCTGTAAGGGGGTTATTAACTATGGTGCCTGCTCGGCTGACTGCAATTTAGTATAAACCTCCAGGGTGTTAGGTCGATCTAAATTTTAATCTCTGGATCGATCTAAATCTCTGGGAATGCACCCTTAGTTTAGCACCCTTCGTTATGCTTAGCTATTTTATATGCGTTATGTTGGATAAAAATAACATCAAATTTGGCTCCAGATAATATGCCACTTGTGGCTCATTGTGACTTGATTCCATTGATTCAGATTTATACACCATTCTTCCATAAAACCCAACTTAACGTTATAGTATAGTGTGGTATTGCCAACGGTAAAAAAATACTAGTTAGACTATAATTTCATAGGAACTAACGGCTTGAGATACGTGTCAGGTAGGTACTTTCACCTTTTCCGTAGGGATAAATTTGATGTGTAATAGCATTCTGTACGGTTAGTTATAATAAATATTTAAAAAAAAAACAAACATCAGAGCACACAGACCACATGGTATTGTAAGTCGTTTTTTAATGAAACACAGCTGTCACCTTAGCTTACATAACAGATATTCAAACAATGGGTTTCCCATTGACTTCAACAAGGGTGATTCAAGAAAATGCGCTGTGTTTCCAGAAGAGTGCATCAGATGTGCGTCAAGTCAAGGTCGAACTTCGCTAACGCCATCATAACCACCATCTGTCCCCCTCGTGGACCTTGTGTTGGCACATCTACATTCCGTATCAACAGTCCAGAAATTGTCTTCCACACTGTAAAAAAGGAAGTCTGAGATTCATTTTATCAACTTAATCTTGAAGTACTTGTAGTAGCAAGCATGAAAAATGTGTTCTTTAACTCATACAAGAAATCGGACGGAGGATTATTTTTTTTTCTTATTTATGGTCGATAGTCCAAATAGCGCCATGTACTTGGCCAACATACAGTTATGGAGAGACGTTATGAAGAGACGCAGTTCTGTGCTTAATTAAGGCTAAATATATTCACAGATAACTTACATTAGGCTTTTTCCACAGTCAGGTCTACATCCTCCGCCACATGCACAGCCGAATATATTACAGCTCCGATGACCACAGTAAGGGGTACCCTGAAAAACGAGTGTGAAGGGAGCACTTAAGGAAGTAAGTTGAGTAGATTAATAATTCTGACATTTTACCTCTCTTAATTAACGTAAGTTTAAGGCTCGTTTTCCTTTTTTCACTCCAAGAGAACCAGTATAATTCAGAGCTATGTTTCCGTTCATTTATTATCTTCCATTCACAAACGCTATTGATAAAACTGTTTCGATTTAAATGCCACCTGCATCTGTGCCAGAAAAAGGAAATGTTCAATTACAAAGTCAAATACATTGTAAGGTTTTTAAGCAAACAGAAAAATATACATGTACATTAATGCTTTTTTAAATGAATGACACTTGAATTTTTTTAGCTGTTCATTTTGTATTTCATTGCAATTTGGTCATGTCCATTAAATGACCTATCAACAGGTTTACAGATCATTACTTTACCCTTACACGAATTATGTCAGTAAAGACAGACGAACCACTAAACATATTTTACTATAATCCATATACGACAGCAAGAGAACTATTTAGACTAGTGAAAATGGTCCACCGCTCATATATTGTATCGACATTATTTTTATTTGAAAGTGTCTAACATTTGTTCTGAATTGGGAAGAAAAGAAGCTTTGCGCTGGAAACAGATTTGACTTTGGGATACTTCCACCCGATATAAACCTATGTACATGCATCCGGTGCTTTTAACGTAGGAAAATCACACACGTCTGCCGTCTTCTACCTCTTTGTTCTTGAAGACGTTCAAAATCTTATTTTTTAAGTTAAAACTCAATAGCTTTTTTAGCAGGTACTTTCTTGTAGCGGCCAATTCACAATTAGTTACCTGCGTTTTTCATTATTAGCTTCCATTCTTCATTGACCGAATTATTCAAATGATAATTATATCCTATTTTTGTGGTTTCAAAACCGTCAGTAACGTAGATTAAGGCTCGTTTTCCTTTTTTCACTTCAGAAGAACCAGTATAATTCCGTTCATTTATTATCATTCATTCACAAACGCTACACATAAAACTGTTTTGATTTAAATGCCACCTGCATCTTTACCAGAAAAAGGGAATTTTCAATTTATTTACAAAACTACAAATACATTGTGAGGTTTTTAAGCAAACAGAAAAATATACACCAATGCTGTTTTAAATGAATGACACTTGAATTTTTTAGCTGTTTATTTTTAATTTCATCGCAATTACTTAATTTTACAGGAATTATGTCAGTAAAGACAGACAAAACATTAGATATATTTTACTACAGTCCCCCACGTCAGCAAAAGAACTATTTTTACTAGTACAAATGGTCCACCCCTCATATTTTGTATCGACATTAAGAATGCTTCACAATTTTTATTTGAAAGTGTCTATCGTTGGTTCTACATTGGGAAAGTTGAGAAGCTTTGCGCGGGGAACAGATTTGACTTTGGGGCAGTTCCACCGGATATATGTACATGCATCCGGTGCTTTTAACATGACAAAATCACATAGGCCTGCTGTCCTTTGCTTCTTGCTTTCTGAAGGCGTTCAAAATCTTATTTTTCCATCTCGGAAACTTCCAAACACATAATCCAAATAAAAAAATCCAATATTTCGGTTATTGTCATTAAGGTGCTTCCGAGAACGTGGCTAAGAGCTCCTCCTATGTCAGCAAACATAGTCAGCGTGCTGAAGGCTTCTTGTTGTACCACCTCCTCGTACGTCATATCCGTGTAGTATAACGCCACGCTGACGAAGTCTTTTTCAAGGGATTCTGCTATTCTGTTTAACTCCGACGATATTGCTTTTTAAGGTATTTTAGAACTGGAGATGCTGTAGTCAAAAGATAAAATCTCGCATGGTGCTATGCAGCCAAAATGTTGCTATATCTGGGTCATATTTTCTTACAGCTGGAAGTAACACGTGATGATGTCACGTGGGGATCAGTCTCTGTAACCTTTGACCTCTGGCTAGTATACCATCCGGCAGCCGCACGTTTTCAAAGTCATATTGTGTCTGAAAAGTTGAAATTGCATGAACTCGTAAGTTTAAACGCAATAGCTATATTTCTACAATACACTGCAAGACTTCAGTTTCATTAAAATAAAAGTGTACATTAACGCTGCTACACGTCCATGTTTTGTTTCAAGCACCTATATCATTTGAATTAGGCTAGTCATTTCAAATGTCATCATTGATTTTCAGACAAAAGTACGCACCCAAACCTCTATAAACGAATGTGAACAAACATTCTAGAAATGAAACGGAAAAATTAGAAGAGAAAAACCTGCAAATTTTTACCTTAGATCTCGGTTGCTCTTGTTTGATTTGAGAGAGGTTTGTGTCCCAAGATAACGTGTTGTTCTATATGTAATTCTCTTAGCAGGTACTTTCTTGTAGAGACCAATTCACAATTACCTACCTGCGTTTTTCATCATTAGCTCCCATTCTTTATGGACCAAGTAATTCAAATAATAATTATACCTTTATTTTTGTGGTTTCAAAACCGTCAGTTACGTTGATTAAGGCTTATTTTCCTTTTTTCACTTCAAAAGAACCAGTATAATTCAGCGCGGTGTTTCCGTTCATTTATTATCATTCATTCACAAACGCTATACATAAAGCTGTTTTGATTTAAATGCCACCTGCATTTGTGCCAGAAAAAGGGAATGTTCAATTTATTTACAAAACCAAATACGTTGTGAGGTTTTTAAGCAAACAGAAAAATATACATCGTTGCTTTTTTAAATGAAAGACACTTGAATTTTTTAGCTGTTTATTTTTAATTTCATCGCGATTTGGTCACGTCCATTAAATGACTTAACTACAGGTTTACAGACCATTACTTAACCTTACACGAATTATGTCAGTAAAAACAGACAAAACATTAGACACATTTTACTATAGTCCCCCACGTCAGCAAGACAACTATTTAGACTAGTACAAATGGTCCACCCCTCATATTTTGTATCGACATTAAGAATGCTTCACAATTTTATTTGAAAGTCTCTACCGTTTGTTCTACATTGGGAAAGATGAGAAACTTTGCGGGGGGAACAGATTTGACTTTGGGGCAGTTCCACCGGATATATGTACATGCATCCAGTGCTTTTAACGTAAAAAAAATCACACACGCCTGCTGTCTTTTGCTTCTTGCTTTCTGAAGGTGTTCAAAATCTTATTTTTCCATCTCGAAATCTTCCAAACACATAACCCAAAGATGAAATCCAGTATTTCGGCTAGTGTCATTAAGGTGCTACCCAGAACGAGGCCAAGAGCTCCTCCTATGTCAGCAAACAAAGTCAGCGTGCTGTAGGCTTCTTGTTGAACCACTTCCTCGTACGTCATATCCGTGTAGTATAACGCCACGCTGACGAAATCTTTTTCAACGGATTCTGCTGTTCTGTTTAACTCCGATGATATTGCTTTTGGAGACATTTTAGAACTGGAGATGCTGTAGTCAAAATACAAAATCTCGCATGGTGCTATGCAGCCACACTGTCGCTTTATCTGGGTCGTGTTTTCTGACAGCGGGAAATAACACGTGATGATGTCACGCGGGGAACAGTCTCTGTAACCTCTGACCTTTGGATAGTATACCATTCGGCAGCCGCATGTTTTCAAAGTCATGTTGTGTCTGGAAAGTTGAAATTGCATGAACTGGAAAGCTTTTTTTCTAAAATAAATTGCAAGACTTTCAATGTAAATAAACATTAGCGCTGCTACACGTCCATGGTTTGCTTCAGAACATTTCATGTTTTAATTTTAAAATAATAATAATAATAATTATTATTATTATTATTATTATTATTATTATTATTATTATTATTATTAAAAGTCTAATAAAGAATAATAATAATTATAATAAGAACTATTCTTCTCATTTTTATTTATCCATCATTTATAATCTTAACTATTTTTGCAAAATTCGTATTTGTATTGCTATCACACTGCTTTGCGACAGTTTTTTTTTTTTTTTTCTAAATAATTCCACAAACTGAACTTCAGACGTGTTCAAACCAAGAAAATTTGACCGAAGATCATCCTAACGTCATCAACTAAATGTAGATTTATTTATATTATCTGACTATTGAAATTTTATGTTTTTGTCTAAACGGATCCTTTCATTAGGCCTATCATTGTGATAGCATTGATACTTACAGTCACTCTACGACACTGACCAAGTTACCACGTTTTTTTTTCTGTGTGTGTGTTTAAATGGTTGCCTTGAGGTTGACCTACGTTCACAGACTTTACGACCGCCATTTCAACTGCTTACACCATACATACATACAGGCATTCTGCACGGCAGTTTACTTTGCTGTACTTTTTGTAGTAAGCCAGTTTTCTCTCGCCACAGTTGCCATGGGGAGCGGGAAGGTTCACCAACTGAAAAAGTACATTAGGATACGCACTGAAGGTAACAAGGCAAACAACATCTACTTTCATTTTTATATATATATCAAAATACGATTTTACTTGGTGAAATGTAAATGGCCCCGATGGTTACGAAAACGTCACCCGTTAAGCACGAAAAGGTCCGCTCTGAATCAAAATATGTTCAAGGTTCTATGTCATATCTCAAACTGTGTTAACTAAGGGAGATAAAAGGTCCACAGTTCTTGAAAAGGACCGTTCCCCCCTGCTTAGATATTGCTGACTATAGTCTGTGATTTAAGCATACATTGGTACGGTAACTTGTAATGCCATTTCTTGTTGCATCGAATCAGAGACTACACTAATGGCTCAATCATTTCAACGGGCAAAACATTATCAAATTTTCAGATGCATAATTATATAAACACAAAACTTATATTTCTATAAAGCATTTGTGGTGCTTTCACTGCACAGAATCGAAGTATGGAGTGGCCTGCTTTTAGTTTTGATGCTACTACTATATATATATATATGTCTTTAAAAAACAATACCTTTATAATTCACAGTTTTCACCCCATTCAAAAGATCGAGTAATAACTGTACATTGAGCAGACAATGCATCACTTGAAGAGTCAGGGGATCTTGTTCATGGATTATTGAAGGCTATAAACTTTTTACTATAAACTTTTTACATTCTAGCTCCCCCATAGCGTTACCTTCTTCAGTTTGAGGACAATGAGGGAACTCTGTCCTGGGACTGTACGGATGGCAAAGTTCAACATGTCAGGTTGGTCGTCCATGTCGTGAAGGAGTATCTGAAAATAAGAAATTGGGGTGGAAATATAGTTCCAGTTACAGGGGCGGATTGAGGCTGTCTTCTGGGTCTTCTGGAAGACGGTCAGATTTTCAAGTTTACATTGATGGGTATCCAATTTTTTTCTGTCGGAACACGGTCAAAAATAGAGAATGGATCACCAAAGATTATTTGAAAGGCTGTCAGAAAATATATCTTGATCCGCCCCTGAGTTATGATATATCCGAAGTGAAAAACAACACCCATGGCCCCCCTTCTGCAACTTTGACATACCCCTTATGATTTTTCTGTCCTTATGACGTCCCACAGGTCACAGTAAAATTCTTTGTGAAGATGTTTCTTAAGATTAGAATTTACAAGACAATTACATGTTTGTATGGTAACAACTATGGCGGATCCGAAGAGCTTTTGAAATTTTAGTAACATAATAAATTTCAAATTTCAAGGTTCCGTGGCGTTATCTATTCTGAATTGAATAATTATACCTAAGATATACAGATAGACTTATAATATAATATAATATAATATAATATAATATAATATAATATAATATAATATAATATAATATAATATTTCAAATTAATCAAGACCAAAGAAAATGTGCCAGGAATCAACCACGGCATATTACCAATGCGCCCTCGTCCAAAACGTTCCCTTCATATTCCCGGCTCTGCTGGGTGTCGAGGAAGAGTTCCAGCCCATACCTGGAGCCTTCCATGTCCACCTGAAGATCACCACCGTCTGTATGATAAACAACAAGAAAAAGATGATACATGATAATGAAAAGATGAGAAATTAATGAGGGACTTATTACTCGACGGAATGCACGCGATATTAGGTGCAATTGACTTAAAACTGTGAACTCCTCTAAGATTTGTACTTCTTGCTCACTGTGAACTCTTGAGTAATTTCAAAACCCTATTAACTACGTTTTAGGATTTTTATTTCACTGTTTTTATTTTTACTTTTTTAGTAACTGAAGGCCTTGGGTCTTTAATAAGAATACAAGACCAGTAAATAATCATTATTTTCTCTCCTGAATATATATATATACCTCCTCCGAACTGATGGCATAACCCAAACTCGGTGAGGACTGGCCTGAATGCGTTGCTTTTGCATTCCTTCGTCTTCCACAGACACTGAAAATAAGCAAGTTTGATCATCATGTTGCAAAGTCAAACAACAGTAAAAATTCAGTGACTACCTTACATTTCAGTGTCTCGCGAGATACTTGCACCAGATACTTATCAAGTTACACCGTGCCTTCGCCTTTACAATAGACCTACTATGATGGCGGTAACAGTAACCAAGACCCAGGAACTTAATGGCTATTTGGTCGTTTTAACGGGTAAGTGCAGTTCTTAGTACATGTATAAGGGAGTCGTGTATTAGTATTACATCTGTATTATAACCTCATATGGTCATTCTGTTTGGCGATTCTGTGGCAAACAACTATCTAGATAATGAAAATCTCTGAGAGCACTGCAAAGGTCAGACCATTTAATCTTATTAAAGTCGTATATTATTGACATTTCCATCTCGTCCGGCATAACCCTGAGCCTGAGTATTAGAGTTAACTGTTTAATTTAACTTCTATAATCTACTCTTTATCAGTTGCCTTACGTAAAATTCGGTCACCTGAATCAATTTAGATATACTTACCTTAGTTTTTAAATTTTTTTATTCGTTTGATTCAAACTGATCAATTTAGATTGGGAGTTAAAAGGCAAGACAAAAAGTATTAATCAGTATAAAATAACAATCTTAAACCCTATTTTGTATCAGTTGGTGAACCATCATGCCCGCCTGTTTTTCAAATGGCAGGACTCTCCATCTCGTTACTCCGGAACCATAAAGGAGACCGACTTTACCACTTAAGCGAAATGTTATCAGTCAATCAACTTACAAACACGACCATGTCTTCCACTTGAAAGCCATTCCTTACGTAGAAATCAGTCCAACTGGTACGGCTGAGATTGAACAGAGACCAGTCGGGGGAGCCAGAGTGCCCCACGTGAAAAAGGTTGCCAATTTCTGTCTCATTGTTTCGCGCCAAACTGCTGGCCTTGAACGGGGCACTGTTACATACAGTCACGGTAGGAAAAATCAGGGTGTCGTTTTGGGTCACGTTCATGCTCACGGTTGTCGGATTTGAGAAATAGTAGTCAAATCGGTTCTTAAGGTGGTGGATCAGGAACCCAAATCCGACCAAAACGAAGCAGAACCATATGGCACGTCTGATGTAGGAGTAGCTTGGGTTGACCGCTTGTTTGAGACCCAAAATGCTGACTTCGTTAGCAAAGTTGGTCAATTGTTCCTTTGTTGTGACGGTTTCTTCGAGTTCATCTGCAGTGATTGCTTTTTCTTTGTTATCACAATCTTTATTGGCTTCGGTTCCCATCATGTATCATTAAAACAACGCCACTGATACGTTATCAAGTTATTTTATATGACAGTTAGTCCCACGTCGTTCTTTTTTCCCCAACGCTTTATTCCACGCAGTATCTTCAGATAAGCATGTCAATTTCACATCCTCTCGTTGCCGTGGTGATAAAACCCGAACCAACCAAGAGTGTGTTGCAGCGAGACCTGTGAGAGCGCGATAACTTAGCACAGCGTAAATGATCTCTCAGTCGTCTGCTGTAAGTGTTTGAATAAGCGCGTGTATTCAGTACAGGCAATAAAACGTCCGGCCTGTACAGTTGTTCTCGCTCGTTACCTAACAGTCACCTGGTGATACGTATTATCTCAAGGACCAGATAGATGAAATTTATTGCAATCTGCCCCACCTGATATGGATTTTTCTTTTGTGTAAATTATCCAAATTAAACAAGAGTGCATTATCTTCTCCAAAATAAAAGCTATTTCGTTGTATCTCGTTATTGTTCATCTGCTTGCAAATGTTGCTATTATATGCTTTTCCCCGTCAAAAGTTTTCCATCAAAACATAATAACAAAAATTACCTTTCAAAATATTTCTCGTTTATTGGTGTTATATTTTATATACAAGAGTTTGGAATCGCCATAATTAGAAGCCAGCAACTGTCATTAAACCACAGATGCTTCCATCAGTCTTAAATGTACATACAAGGTTCTAAACGTCATTTAACCACTGATATTTCTCCATCAGTCTTAAACTTATTATAAAGGTTCTTAATGTCAATACACAATATGTGGAGAAATTCGTGAGAGTCAGTACAACTTTGAACATTCCAATAACAAAAGCAATATCAAGCGGCCTTAAATATCTTCTAAGCAGTGCAGTGAAATATTTATAAACTAAATGATAAAGACTCACGTTAGAAGATTTTAAACATGAGGTAAAAATCATCTAGATATTGCATTTTTAAGATCATGTGGATCAACATATCGTTATGTGTTGTCCTGTGTCTGAAATAAAAGCATTCCAGTGGCGTATTGTTGTACTGAAATAATATCCACTTGAAAATTTCAGTTCAGCATCTGAAGTCCACAAAAGCCTTTAGCCTGCAAATTGGGCTATACTTTTAAGACAAATATCTAATTTACTTTAGTTCAGGTTAGATCCAAATTTGTCATCTTGAGTGAAAGACTTATTGGCTTGAAACACAGCTACAACTATTTACCTCCGTCAAGGAGGTTATGTTTTCACCCCTGTTTGTTTGTTTGTTTGTTTGTCTGTCATCGACATAACTCAAAAAAGTAAGCACCCATTTTTTTGACGAAATTTTCAGGAACTGTCAGAAGTGGGCCAAGGAACAGATGAGGCATCCTGTTTTCTTTCATTGGACTGTTACTCAAACCTTGGGTAACAGCAGACTAAAATTTGAGTTTTTAATTTCAGACCAATTCTTAGGCTAAAATTCTTATGTAAAACTGACATCAGATTTATAAATCAAGGATTATATACCCAATAATGTTCTTTGTATTACAATAAGAATCCAATCACATGTTATGTTCTATAATACTGTGGACATGCTGGAATGGGGAGGAACTCAACATAAACTGAAAACTTAACTTGCTATTGATTTACAGGGAAAATTTAAGGTCGCATACTTCCCCATAACTTAGCTTCAAATCAATATCTTTTTCAACCCATCTAAATACAGGTAAAACTGGGCTACTTCATTTTACTTAAATAAATTTTCACCAACCCCAAGTCTGAATATTGCATTACTCAGCCATACAGCTACTGACATATACCACTGCCTACACACAGAATAAAAATAATGTCCTGTTTCTGACTGCAGGAAACAGTGAAGAGATGTGGCTTGTCATGGAAAAATCTGCCACTGGGTGGCAGAAGAGATCAGCCACTTTGTCATTTAATATATAACATATAGTTTAGCAATCACAACCAAGTATGGGTAATACTTTATTTACTCATATAACTACCATATATGCCTGTGTTTTTACATGTCTGCAAGATATACCCTTCTGCAGTGTGTGTAAATAGTCAAAAGAAACATATTGCAATATTTTCATTACCCATAAAACCCAGCCAAGTATAACAAAGCATTCTACCCATATCAATTACATAAATAANAATCGTGTTTACGGTGTTGCATATATGCTGAAAAAAGTGAAAAAACAGCATAACTTCCCTAAAAATGGCCCGATCATGCTGATTTTCGAACTTGACCTGAATATTATGAATATTCATCAGTTCTGTAAGTTTCAAGTCAAAACGTAAAATGGTTTTCCACTTATCGTGTTTACGGTAAAAGTGCACGCCAACGGCAACGGCAACGGCAACGGCGACGACAGACGCAGGTGACGGCTATATGTACAGACACATCTGTGTCTGTACATAAAAAAGTTATACTACAGATATAACTTCTTTTTTTTTCAGTTTATATAAAGCAGTTCTTGAATATCTTAGACTACTTGCATTAACTTCCTGTCACGTGATCACTTAAGGTCAAGGCCATTGCAATATGTGATCATTCAGTGTTCAGTTGTTTATATGCAGCATCATGACTCAGCTTTATTTGTAGTCCAAGTCTGACAAAACTGGTATTAAGCTCACCATTTCCCATTTGTTAAGTTTCCACTAACTGCCTTTGTTACCCAAACCTTTACTTACGCTGCACCTCAAACATAAATCAGTTTGACACTTCATCACTACTGAGCTTCAAGTTCGGAAATTTTTTTGGTAGGTTTCCATTGAATTCCCTCTGATGTACAAACCTGAACAGTTATGGTGTATGTGATATATGAACTACTTCAATACCTTCACATATACCACTTTCAACTGAGCCTGTGCTTATGCCATGTTCAGGATAAACAGTGGGGCCCTGGTGAACTTTAGCATGTTGACAATTAGTGGTCTCACACCACATATCGACTGTGAAATCTGAAGTTATAAAATTTTGCCATTGTTTTCTTGGTTGTAAAATACATGGTGGGTGAAACTGGCAGGCAACAGTAGTCATTATCTTAACAGCAGTGTACTGCTGGTGGTACCATAACACTGCACTCAGGCGCCATTACTGTGCTGTAGTACCTTAAAGCTGTGCCTAGGCACCATAACACCCTGCTGTTTGTACCATAACACTGAGCTCAGGCACCATTACTATGCTGTAGTACCTTAAAGCTGTGCCAAGGCACCATAACATCCTGCTGTTTGTACCATAACACTGAGCTCAGGCACCATTACTGTGCTGTAGTACCTTAAAGCTGTGCCTAGGCACCATAATATCCTGCTGGTGGTACCATAACACTGAGCTCTGGCACCATTACTATGCTGTAGTACCTTAAAGCTGTGCCTAGGCACCATAATATCCTGCTGGTGGTACCATCACATGTAGCTCAGGCACCACCTAAGTTGTACTAAGGGCATCATAACAATGTACTCCTGTACCACTCCATTGTTCTGGAGTACCCTTTCACTAAGTTTGGGCAACATTACACTGATTGGACACCATGATGACACTATACTCATATTTCTGTCATCACTGATGCAATCGCCTGCACAATTCTTGGCAACAGTCTATGCATATAAGGCTGTAATTACTCTTCCTGTGCATACATCTACCAAGTTTTCTTTGTTATGTACTTATTTGTTTGTATAACTGCTTCTGCTCCATGCCGTTTCATTCCGCCATGTTTCCTTTTGAAAGAATACTTTTGGCATGTGCTTATTTGTCTGGATAATTTCTTCTGCTCCATTTATATTTTTCTTTTGTGTTTGTTTTATACCATCTTCATGTCATGAAATCATTTGTATGTATAATCACTTATGAGTCTTTTGAATGCATTTCCCTTTCTATTTGAGAAATTCCCAAGGGTTTCTCTTTATACAGTGGAATGGCTGAGCAATCATATTATAATTCTTCTGCCTTGTGCCACATCCTTACTGAAATATACAGTGTTCTTGTCTTCATCTGGTATTCTTTTTCCCTCCCTTAAGCAATATTTTTATTTGTCTGTCTTGTAATCAGTCCATTCATTGGTTTCCTGACATGTCCGTTCTGTTTTTTCTGGTTAACAAATAATGTCTCCTCTCCACTGCTAAGCTCGGACTCTGACGCCATGATATTGCCGTTCACCATTTTGCCTGAAATAATAAATTATTTAATCACTAACAATTAATTTCAATTTGGAATAAAATACCAAATCCAAGTGCAGGGACATGTTAAGCGATGATTTCTGGGTGGGAGAAAATTGCTTTGCCCCCAAAACCCCTGCCCACTTGGAAAATTAATATAAAATGGTATAGAGTAATTTTAATCATTCTAATTTGAATTAATCTATTTAAAATAGCTGGAAAAATAAGAAATCCTGACAAACCCTGACAAAGAAAAGGCGAGGCACTGATGGCTTATCTTAAGTTTTCTGTCCCAGTTTACTTACCTTTTGGCAGCATCTCCATATCATCTTTCTGAAGAGAGTCTGACAATAGTTGATAACGGTGCCTTTTCCTCGGCCGCGTCTTACATCTGAAATCACAAATTAGTTTCAAGTCATTAATTTTGCAACTGGAACATGAATTTCAGTATTACAAAGCAAAATCTGAATACAAATATTATATTTTATCTAACATGAAGGACTATATTGTAAATGTACTTAAACTCGTCAAAACACTGATGTAATTTTAAATTGCTATCTTTCAAATAAATAATTTGTCTGTGCACAGTACATATCTCTATTTTTTTCAAATAATAAATATCCATTTTTTCATCTTAATGTCACTTACAAAACCAAAAGGTCAGCTGCATTTATTTTTGATTTATTTTCCCTTCTTTGTCTAGCTTTAATCATACCTTTTTGCACAGTAGTAAACTCCCCATATTATGGCTGCTAGAGTGATGACTATCACAAATATCACTATCACTACATATAGTATACTCCAATCTGAAAAAACATAAGCAATCCAAGTTATAAATCTCAAGAAGTATTGTTTTCTATCAACAAAAATTACAGTCAAACTCCCATTTGTTAAGCTCCACTTAAACAATTTTAAACAGCCTTTGAATGAAACAAAGAAATAAGACAGTGCAGTAAATGATGCACACAAGTACTATACACAAATCTTGAATTTATTATCTTTGTAACAATTTTAACTTGAGATCATACTTTGGTGAAACTAGTTCCACAACGCTTAGTGGCCAGTCACAAATCAGTTGCAATGCATCGGGGATGGGTAAAACCCGGGAAATTTGAACAAAATCTTGAGACAGATCTCACGATTTTGCACCCGTCGGAGGCGCTCTCCGGACGCCTGCGGGTTGTCGCAGATTTTTTAGAGATCGTCACACCTGTCGCGGTCCCCTTTGAACTTAAAATTTTAAGTTTGCTCGCAAGATTTTTCACCCATTTTGGGCATCCCAGAGACAATCTCCGATGACCTACAATGCCCTCCGATTAATCGGAGGCGTCCTCCGAATAATCTGAGACTAGTCGCAAGATTCTGTGTGGGATTGGAAAATCAGGTTGAGATTCAATGTCTGCGAGTAGTCTCAGGCGCCCTCCGACTAAATCAGAGGCGCCCTGTGATGATTCGTACGCTTTATGTGATCGTCTCCGACGAATCGTACAGTGGAATCGTAGTAAATCCCCGTGTATATTAGGGCGCCTCTGACCGGATTGCTAAAAGTTTGAGACGCTCTTGCTGCAGAAGGCTGTGACAGAAGATTTTGAAGATGCAATCGGAGGCGATCGGAGGCTAATCCCACGATTTTTCGACAAAACCGGGTCAAAATCCTTGAAAAAATCTCAGACAATGTGACTGCTCCACTTTTATTAGGATTATTGCTAGGATTGTTCAAGGATTCTTTATTTTCTACGACGACCCCCGGCCAAAACTAATCCCCGACAGATCGCCGACATTGTGACTGGGCCATTAGTCTCACTACATCACAAAATCAATGAACACCCTTCATGATAATTATATTCCCTTTTTCCAGGCTTGGCTTCCACAAACACCTACCACAATTATAATCTTTTTCCAGTGCGGCTTTGAAGAAATTCTCCATCCAGAAAGCATCACAGACACACTGCTTGGTGTAGGAGTCACACCTCCCGTGTCCTGAACAGTTGTTCTGGCACACTGAAATTTAAAAAAAAATTAATTCAAGAAAAATATTTGTTGTCCAAATTTTCTAAATTTTCAATTTTTCATCAGCTACGTAATTTGAACAGAAGTGTAGATTTTGTCAATAGCCTGAGAAATAAGGCAATATTCCATGAGGAGGTTCTGACACAACAAACTCTTATTTTGTTTAAAACAGAAATACTTGAGAGAAAATAAACCCAGAATTATTTTGTGTAGGAGCCAGAAATTCTCCTCCTCCAAATATTTAACCCTTCTTGAAGAAACAAATTTGACTTTAAAAGATGTGCCAGTCAACATATAAAGTTCACCACCCACCCAACAAAAATTGAATCTGACTCAATAATACTGAATAGTGTCAGATGATATCTGATGATATTTGACACTGTATCTATTAACAAACTAAGGACTCATTCAGAACAGGGGACTAACAGATCCGAGGATCAAATATGGCCGAACCACTGGAATGCTTGTTGCATAATCCCCGTAAGAAATCTATTCAGTGTCTTATCAGAAATTTAAGCGACAACCTTTTTAGTGGGTCGCCATATTTGATCTGTTAGTCCACTGTTCTGAATGTGCTCTAAAACAAATCTCAGTCTCACCTAGAGTATCTAATTGCACCACTTCAAACTCTAATACATCCGCATCTGACTTGAGCCTCTGCTTGAGAATTTTGACAATCTTCGTCCCCGCGTGGGTCAAATGAGTGTCCTTGAACTCTGACCTCACCAGAAATGTCACAATTACTCTGTGAAGAAAAAAAAGACAATGAAACCTATTATGAATACTTTGCATTAGACATAATCGTAAATGAATTCTCACATGCTATCAATAGTTAACTCTGCATTCAACATTTATCATGTTTATCAAACATTAGGCATATTCTTACTGTCCCGTCCTCATATCTTGCTCTATATTTCTAATATCCACAGTGGTGTCGCCCCCTGGCAGCGTCTTCTGCAGCAGCAAGGCAAGCTGATTGGCAAGGTTTTGCTGAAAATCAATGAAATGAAATGAGGCTCAAAGCACTGTTGTTAAGTTAGTTTTTTTTACCAAGTTGTCATAAATATACTCTTTTTTTTGCATGATTTAATAGTAAATTAATATAAAGATCACCTTTGTTTATTCATTTCCAATGTTTAATCTTTTTAATGCCCGATATATATACATATTTTTAAGAGTGTAATTGTTTTATTAATTTTGTCACCAATCATGTATTGCAAACACAATATACTATTTATTATATTCTTAAAGCATTCAGACAACTGTTATCAAGAGGAGCACCTTATTTTTCTCCTTAAAGACAGCAATATCTACATCCAGGTACATCTGTAACAGGTTCTTAGAATTTTCATCTGAAAAATAAAATACATATTATATCATGAAATTTTATGTTTTTCTTTCTTTATGTTGATTACAATTCTGGAAAGAATTCAAGTTTATCGTTTTTAACTATAAATTTAAAGACAGAATATATTAATAGTATTTTTTGTTAAGCATAATAATAAAAATGTCAAACAGAAAGTGAGACAGAAAACACACACACACACACAAACATGCTGAATACAGACATCTTTACCTTCTTTTATTATCACAGAGGCCGCGTCCTTGCTGCTGAGGCCGTCCTGGTCAGTAACGGTCAGTGTGAACATGTAGTGACCTGGCACCATGTCAGTCATCAGTAACACTGGCATGTGGTCAGAGCCATTCAGGATTTTCTAAGAATTATGAAATAAAAATTTATTGATGATAGTCTAAGATCATTTAATAACCTATATAAATAAACTATACCATATAAAGGAAATATTCTGTGAATATCATCCATATCAAGTTAAAGAAATTGACATCCAGAGACCTTGGATAAATGACAAGGGCAGCAAAAATGTCACTGAATTTTCCATTCATTACAAAAAAAATAATATCATAACCTTTTATTTATTTATTTATTTATTTATTCATTTATTTAGTGGGGAAAGAAAGCTGCAACTTGGAATTAAAAAATAAAGAATTCCAAAACAATTCAAGCATAGCCTGTTATCCTAAGCCACAACCACCCCACTCACCCCAGCAGCCAGACTATCTTCACTTTTCTCCCACAAGTACGAGGCAATGGCTCGGTCATCCTTGGACCCTGAGCCGTCCAGCTTGACCAGAGACACAGGCATGGTCAGCAGCTGATCTCCACCGGCACTGGCAACGGGTGGCTGGTTCTTCTCTGAAAAATGTCATCAAGTGTGTATTAAAATATATTCTTTTAGATATCTTTTATTGGCAGCCCGTTTTTGAAAATTAATACCATCAATTTTGT